GCTTGCCATATCCCATTTCCTTTGATATTCAGCAACAAGAAGGTAACTGTGCCAACGTCCACTCTATACGAGCATGTTCAGGGCAAGAGGTGACTCACGCCAGAAGAGCGCCAAACGTCACACTACAAAGTACTTTTCCCTGCTCTCGAGGTTGTCGCTGTGAAGCACAATCGTCGAAGAGAAAGGCTGAATTTTTTTCTTGCGGTTTTTTTAAAGGATCTGCTTGCAAGACAAATCAGTAAGGAAGAGATTGAGTTTGCAGATGATACAGTTGACCTTCTCTGTCTCGACAACGGAAATTCTGATGATGCCTTTGATGACTTCACAGAATCCTACCGGGACAACCAGAATTCCCCTTATGTCATCATAGATTGTGTTGAGACTGATATCTCTATAAACCTGGAGAGGATTAAAGTTTACAGTCTTCCCCAAGTTGAAGTAGACCGAATCGAGCGTCGCTTGAACGGAGGCCGGACGACACGGATGTTGAATCTAATGAGAGCAGCTCTGAATCAGAAAACGACGAAGGCCATCCGCAKCGTACAACCTACAGTACCAGAAYAGGGCGATCAGCCACAAGATTAATGTTGTCACTTTGCTGGGACCTCATAYAAAACACCAGCTTAGCCTATCCAAAACCTATGATTTGGAATTTGGAATCTCATTATTTTATATAGGACYTTCGGACTTTTTTCGCGTTCTCAATTGTAGTTTTGTTTTTACGATGTGATATTTCTTCGATCTCAAACTTCAAAGTGCAATAACAGTTTTCACACAAAACTACAATTTATCCTTTGTTATATTGCAATTTTTAAGGCAAAARAGAAGCAAAACTTGCTTTGAACATTTTTTTTTTAGAATAAACGTTTTTTTAGAAATACTTATGTCCACTGACTGTACATTCTCACTATGAAAATCACTTTTAGCACTGCGTGTAACCTGTATATTGAGGTTTTAAATGTTGAAAATTTACTTTGAATATTTGAGAATATTGAATATTGACAGTTTGAATATTGAGTACTCAAAGCAAAAAA